CCCTGCAAAAAAAAAAAGAATGATAATAAAAAAAAACCCAAAAAGAAAAAAAAAGAACCTGATTAACACTAACTTCATAAATCATAGGCTGTAAAATGTATAATGCCTCGAACTTTCTCAAAATTCTTCCATTCCTCCCCCCCCCCCCCCCTGCAAAAAAAAAAAGAATGATAATAAAAAAAAACCCAAAAAGAAAAAAAAAGAACCTGATTAACACTAACTTCATAAATCATAGGCTGTAAAATGTATAATGCCTCGAACTTTCTCAAAATTCTTCCATTCCTCTTGTGAGTCGCAAACAGGCTGTGAATCGTTTGGATTTTTCACGAGCGTTCTCCCACACTGAACCACCTGCATTCCCTCCACCCTCATTCGCCTGCATCCCTCCACTTCCATCTCGCATACTTAACAAGACGTAATTTTGGACCACCGTTACCGAAATTTGTGGTTCCGCCACTGGCTACATGCATGATGGTTCAAATCAGCATTTTATTAATAACTCAAAGATTTGCTTCCCTAGATATAATCTAATAGATTCGGGAAGAACTAACAGAGAATTATTACTCATAAATGTATCCTCGATTTCATGAGTTTCAATCACCTAGAATACTAATGAGAGTTTTTCTATGTCCTATGGCGAGTCCTTCCCTCATCCTTAGTTTCTTTTGCCAAAAAGTCATCAATTTCAAAGCTGAGCTCTGACAAAATTTGGTTCCGGAAATATGTCAATAACTTTGCATGGACTTCTAGGTTAACGGCTGAGTTCCATAGAAGCCCCTTTACATTCAAATATTTTGATGATCATACTAATATAAATATTTTGGGGTACATAAAACTCAAAAACTTGTCATCAACCTGACTTGCAACAAATATGATAAATGATGTTAAACTCGTAGAAACAACCATGCAGATCATTTATGTCCCTTGAAGATCAGCAAAAAGGAATAAAAGAAAGCATTCATAACCAATGTCAATACCTTTTGAACACCTTGATTACAAGCATATACCAGAGCATCTGCTAGTGTAAGCCTTCCCTCAGCATCAGTATTGTTTACCTAGAATTATAAACATCGAGAAGTGAAGCTTTAGTTAGAGAGAGAGAAAGCTAGCTTATGGAAATTGAATATTTGCTTAGGTTTGTTCGACATGAAACATATTTATTTATATCTGGAAGGGTGTTTAGCATACTCACCCTCATCTTATAAATTTACACTTTTCATGTTGCTTTCTTACATTTTTATTTGAATTGTTTGCAGCTATTTCCTTCTACATTGTAGATTCAATAGAAACTGAAGTAACCATGACCTTCAATTAATAAATTAGTTTTAATATTTATGTTGTAAGAGTAGCTAAATCTTAAGTCAATTCAGGAAGCGTGCCTCTTTATCTTATCAGCTTTGATGTTTAGTCTAGCATTGTAGTTATATGTCTGTCAAAATGGTATTGGAATTCATAACTTGTTCACTAGCATTAAGTAAACCATGCTTTAATTCATTAAAAGATATTTTCAGAGTTTGTACAACAAAACGACATATTCACAAAGTAAGAAGCACAAAGGCAACTTACAAACATGAGAAGAATGTATGCTTGAGCTGCAATCTGAAAATCAAGTATAGGCACTATTATGCACCTTTAATATTATCAGTAATGTCTTATTGGTCAACAGAGATGCTCTACAAGCAGTTTGCAAACAAAGAGTAGAATGCCAACAAATTTAATTTGGACATAGTAGAAAACCAGGAAAACTAATTTGGCCATGCATAAGAGTGAATGCATTGCGCAAGAGGATAATGGGCGAATAGGTATGGTGTTGGGAAATTGCACAAATTCCCCTATTATCAGATTTAAGAGAAAGCGAAATAAATGCGCAATAATAGGACACACAATTTAACGTGGTTCGGCACAAAAAGTGCTTATATCCACGGGCTGCTGCAGATCTTTACTGAAAAGGGAAATTTTACAAGCACTCTGAAAATTGCTCTTAATTTTCTCTCACTGAGTACTCTCTCTCTCTCTCTCAATCTTTCTCACGGGGTGCTCTCTCTCACTCTTCTCAAGAACATTCAGAAGCTGGTTGAGGATATAGATCAAAGGGGGGAGGGGGGGTTTATAGCCTCCATCCCCCTCCTTTTTTTTCTTCCTTTCTTTTGACTCTTGCTCCCCTCTTGTCAAGCCATCTTTCTTCTTATCAACAAAGGCAGCCACCTTCCTTTTTTTTTTCTTTCGGTGGCATCTTTTGTTGACAAAAGAAAACAGCCACCAACTCTTTTTGACTAACAATTTTCCACTTGAAGACTGATTTTAATCTGTCTTCACATCTCGATCTATGTAGCAGCTCTTCCTGGTCTTGATACTATTGCAGGCAAACTGAAGCTGAACACAACTTCAGTTTGTCAGTAGTTACCGTCTTTATCAGCATGTCTGTTGGATTTTGAGCTCCATTGATCTTTTCAAGTTTTAAAATTTCATCTTCCAGAAGTAACCGGATAAAATAATACCGTACCTGTATGTGCTTCGTTCTGGAATGAAAAGACGGATTCTTCGCTAGATGAATAGCACTTCGACTATCGCAATATAAGACATTGTCTCCTTGTTTCTTGCCTAATTCGAGCAATATCTGGTCTTGTACAAACCATGACATACATCAGACTTTCAATTGCTGAGGCGTACGGAACCTTCGCCATGTGTGCACGCTCTTTCTCTGTCTTTGGTGACTGGTCTTTGAAAAGTCTGAAATGAACACCTAAATGTGTACTCACTGGTTTAGCATCTTGCATATTGAACCTGGAGAATACTTTGTTGATGTACTCAACATGTGCATTAAAGTCCCAGACTTCATGTCTCTCTTGATTCTCATTCCAAGAACCTGCTTTGCAGCGCCAAGATCTTTTATTGCGAACTGCTTTGATAATTTTTGCTTCAAATTTATGATCTCTTGCAGATCTGGGCCTGCAATGAGCATGTCATCAATGTATAACAATAAAATAATAAAGCTATTGTCAAACCTCTTGAGATAGCAACAATGATTTGTTTGGCATCTAGTGAAACCATTGATGCCCATAAAGCTATCAAACTTCTTATACTACTGCCTGGGAGTTTGTTTTAATCCATACAAACTCTTCTTCAAACGACATACTAGATTTTTCTTGCCTGTCTTTATGAAGCCTTTTGGTTGCTTTATGTAGGTCTCCTCCTCCAAATCACCATGAAAGTAAACTGTTTTTACATCTAACTGTTCAAGATGTAAAATCTCAGTAACTATAATTTTTAACACCAGTCTGATTGTAGTCAGATTCACGACCGGAGAGAAAGTTTTATTGTAGTCAATACCTTCTTTTTGCTAAAAGCCTTTGACAACCAACCTTACCTTGTAACGCTTGTTCCCATCATGCTCTTCTTTGATCCTGTAAATCCACTTGTTATGAAGAGTTTTCTTACCTGGTGATAATTCAGCTAAATCCCACGTCTGATTTGACATAAACGAGTCCATCTCATCTTGTATAGTAGACTCCCATTTGACTGAATTCTCCACCTGCATTGCTTCATCATAACACTCCGGTTTCCCACTGTCAGTAAGCAACAAGTAGTGCAAAGAAGACGAATAACGCTAGATTAGCTTAGAAATTCTGGAGGAGCATCTCACTTCTGGCGTGCTTGGTTCTTCTTGAACTACTTCAGGAATAGTCTGAACATCATTTTTAGAAATCTCCTCAAATTCAGCAAATTCCTTTGTATTAGCTTTTGCACTGGAGCTACTTGATTCTGCAGTTGATCTGTCTTTGTACATCATATTCTCATCAAATATGACATATCTGTTTCTGCTGATCTTCCGAGTTTCATAATCCCAAAATCGGTAACCAAACTCATCACCACCATAATCAATAAAAACACATTTGTTAGATTTGACATCAAGTTTATTTCTTTTAGCAGAATCTATGTGTACATAAGAGATACAACCAAAAACTCTTAAATGCGAAAGGTTTACCTCTTTTCTGTTCCAAGCTTCTTTTGGTATTCCACCGTCCAAGGGAACTGAGGGCCCGCAGTTGATTAGGTAGGCTACGGTATTGATAGCTTCAGCCCATAGGAACTTAGGCAAGCCGACATATATCCTCATGTTTCTGGCACATTCATTCAAAGTTCTGTTCATACGTTCCGCTACGCCATTGTGCTACGGTGTCATGGGAACTGTTTTCTCCATCTTGATCCCGTTGTTTGCTCAAAATTCTTTGAATTTACTGTCTTTGTACTCTCCTCCATTGTCTGATCTTAACCGTTTTATTTTCAAACCAGTTTTATTTTTCACCATAGCCTTCTATTTTTGAAGGTATCAAAGATTTCTGATTTTTTTTCAGAAAATAAACTCACGTATTCTTTGTAGAATCATCAATGAAGGTGAGACATAGTACAGTGAGTCTGCAAGAGATGGAACTAGAGATGGTCCTCGTACGTCGGTATGAACCAGTTCTAACTTTTCTGCCTTGGGTGTCTTGCCAATCTTTGCAAAATTGACTTTCGTTTGTCAAAGATGCAATCTTCGCCTAGGCCGATATCTACATTCTTCAGATCCAGTAGCTTCCCTTTCGACAGAAGTGTTTCATCCATTTCTCGCTCATATGGTCAAGCCTTTGGTGTCATAGGCTTGATTTTTCATCTGCATCTGTTACTACAATAATATTCTCTAAGTTAGATGTTACATAGAGAGTATCATTTTTCTTACCTCGAGCAATGACGAGTGTTCCTTTGGTAATCTTCCATTCATGACCTGAGAAGGTTGTACAGTAACCATCTCCATCAAGTTGTCCCACAGAGATCAAATTCTTTTTAAGGCCAGGAATATATCTTACTCCTTGCAGCTTCCATGTGGTCTGATTTGACAATTTTAATCGGATGCCTCCCTTGTCAACGATCTTCAAGGTTTCATCATCTGCTAGATGTACCTTTCCGAAATCACTGCTGACATAGTTCTTTATGATTTCTCGACATGTGATGACAATGAAGGATGCCCCTGAATCAAAGAATCCATGATTCAATCGGACTATTGACGCTTAGAATTATAGCATCACCTCCTTTCTCGGTCACGTTGGCAGACTCCTGTGTGCCAGTATTTTTCTTCGGCGCCCGACACTCCCTCTTGAAATGACCTTTCTTGCCACAATTATAGCAGTTAAGATCTTTCTTTCCCGATCTAGAGTTACTTCTTTTAGATTTTGATCTGTCGCGATTTGAACTTCTTTCTGAAGTTCTCCTTCTAGACTCCGTGTGTAAAGCTGAAGAGGTTGATGCTTCACCCGATTCTCTCCGCCGAATTTCTTCACTAAGAACCAGATCACGAACATCATCAAATTTTAATTTATTGCTTCCCAACGAGCTACCCATAGCTGTGACAATAGCATTCTAACTTTCTGATAGAGAAGACAAAAGTATCAATACTCGTACTTCTTTATCAAATTTAATTCCAATTGAACTCAACTGGATTGTGATTGTATTGAGTTCATTGAGATGTTAGATTGTATTGAGTTCATTGAGATGTTAAGCTACCGATGCGTCTTCTGCCATCGACAAATTGAACAGCCGCCTCATCAAGTGAACTTTGTTTGAGGCAGATGGTTTCTCATACATGCTGCAGAGAGCCTCCATAAGACCCGTCATGGTCTTTTCATTTGCTATGTTGAAAGCAACATTAAGGGATAGCATCAATTGGATAACTCCGAGGGCTTGTCTGTCGAGAAGAGCCCACTCTTCATCCTTCATGTCATCTGGCTTACTTCCTGAGAGAGGTTAATACATCTTCTTCTGGTACAGATAATCTTCGATCTGTATTTTTAAAAAACCAAATTCCGTATTATCAAACTTCTTAATTTTCACATTCCCTTCGTCTGCAGTCATCGCTCCCACTCGAATCTGACATCCTCTGGATTATTTCTGACTGTTTTTGCGAACTATCGTGTATTAAGACACCTCTGCCGATAAATTGGTACCGCCGATAAAGTTTCACTATTCACGAATTTTACTATTCATGTGAATAGTGACCTTGCAGAAAATTGACAGAAATCACAACCAGAGCTCTCTGATACCAGTTGTTGGGAAATTACACAAATTCTCTTATTGTCAGATTTAAGAGAGCGAAATAAATGCGTAATAATAGGACACAATTTAACGTGGTTCGACACAAAAATTACCTACATCTACGGGCTGTTGCAGATCTTTACTGAAAAGAGAAATTTTACAAGCACTCTGAAAATTGCTCTTAATTTTCTCTCACTGAGTACTCTCTCTCAATCTTTCTCACGAAGTGCTCTCTCTCACTCTTCTCAAGAACATTCAAAAGCTGATTGAGGATATAGATTAAAGGGGGGAGCGGGGGGTTTATAGCCTCCATCCCCCTCCTTTTTTCTTCCTTTCTTTTGACTCTTGCTCCCCTCTTGTCAACAAAGAAACCACATTTCTTCTTATCAACAAAGGCAGTCATCTTCCTTCTTCTTTTTTTTTCTTTCGGTGGCTTCTTTTGTTGACAAAAGAAAGCAGTCACCAACTCTTTTTGACTAACATATGGAAATGCAGTGAATATGAAACAAAGTTGCCTTTTCATAGGAGAAAGGATAGATAATTGAGTAAATGGATGGTACACACTATAAATTTAAAAATGATTACATACTAATTTTCTAAATGGTCATAAATTAAGAACAATACTCTGATACACTTTTAGGTGATAACCTTAATAATTTTGGACCTAAAAGTCTCCCAGAAAAAGAAGGATAGAATGGTTATGACGTCCTTTTTATTGTTGTAAAAATTAAAAAGTCTAGGTAATGGAAATTTATGTGCACAATAAATAAAGAGTTTTGGTTTCCAATGGTTTACAGGTGGATGTATGTTAACTAAAAGTAGCAAGGGCAGAGACTAAGCTTTGTCAGATGTTTCTCAAACCAAATTCTCCTGCTTCTGTGGGAAATAAACTTCTGTGGTGAGTTCATAGGAGGAAGAGAGGACTGGAATACTTTGGCATATAAATACAACAAACTTGCCTCAATTGTCTTGCCATTAGAAGCTGTGACTATGTCACCGGGTCTCATGCCTGTGCCACTTATCATATTTTCACAGGCAGCAACAATGAAGTGCACCTGTAAATGTAATAATTGAACATGTTCAGATAATAATCATATTCTTTCCATTAACAACTAACTATGCATAGGAACAACCTTACCTCTACTCCTGGGGGCTTAATTTGGCCGATGGCTTTTGCTGCACCAAAAACAGCTGCAGAACCACCCATATCAAACTTCATAAGCTCAATCAAACAGCCTGGCCCAGTCTTTATGTTGTAACCACCACTACATGAAAAAGTAATCAAATATTAAAACTTCACAAGTCTTGGTTGAGTTCCAACAAAGGAATGAATAAGAAAGTAAGTGAAAACATTTGTCAGTTTCCAGAGGATGATCACAGGTAAAGGGAACTACGCCAGCAACTAGACAAGTAACTTTGAACAGGAAAGTCATTAAGCTGATTCTTTGTATAATAGGGGAAATTTTTTTCTAACAATCCACAAGTTGATGTTACCTGTCAAATGTTAGTCCCTTCCCAACTATCGCCAACTTTGTTTTCACATCACCATTTGGTGGTGTATAACATAAGTGGATGAAATGAGGAGGGTTTGACGATGCAGCAGCAACACCCAGGTATGAACCCATTTTTAGTTCTTCACACTGCTTTGCATCTAATATTTTTGCAGTAATCACATCACTGTATAAAGAAGCAACTTTTGAAGCCTCTTCTGCCAGTACACCTAAAAGAAAAGCATAATCAAGATTATAGGCTTTGCCCTTAACGCAGGTTCACACTTCACACATCACAAATAAATTATTTCAAATAGAATGAGCTTGTACTAACCAGGAGTAAGCACGTTGGCTGGTGCATTTACAAGCTCCCTTCCGAAAATGACTCCGGAACAAACATCACTTGCATACTTCAGTTTGTTGTCCACTTGAGGTCCAGAACCAAGACCGATAATATCCACTGATTTAAGGAGAGCCTTCTTGGATTCAGACTTGAACCTGTTGTCTTCATGAACTCCTAGCACAGCTCCTAAGTAACGGAAAATAACAAGTCACGCTAGCTGATAATCTACCCAATAACTTTTGTTATTTCCGCGCAGTTCCTTCCTGACTCATAATCTTCTTAGCTATGTAGCGTGAATTATAACAAGTAAGTCTCCTGTGAATTTTGATAAATTATGTTGGTTATGTTTATGTTTAGTTCAAACTAAAATCATGACCATGTCTTATTTTAAAATGACTGGAGGACAAATTTGGGATTTTGGGGGGAAAAGTAGAAAGGATTAGGGAAGAACAGTAAACATCTATCAGACAAGCATGTATCTGCTGCACATTAGTGTGAACATATAGCATATAAGGAAATAAATAAATTTGCTAAATCTATATGTACGGCAACTGAAAGAACCCATGAGAAAGGTAAATACAACGAAATGTAACAGTAGCAGCATTAAGTGAAAAGCAATGACTTAAAGTTAAGGAAGTAAAGAACAAAAATAACCCAATTTTATTGAATTTAGTATTCACTTTTCAGATATATTTGATTCATGTCCCAACCTGATTTTACCAAATACGGGCATCAAATTCAACATCTGAATATCATCCACTTTTCTATCCGTTTCTGCTAAACGAAAACGAAGACAATTACGGTAGCACCTATATGCCCCCCCCATATATGCTTCACCTAAAACATCATTTACAGGTAATTGCTGAAATAATAAGGAAAGAATAATATGTAAGGAATCTATTGTCTAGTTTCGAGGAGACTTCACAGCAAGGAATAAAACTATAGAAGATACGAGCATTAAAAAACTTCAAATATGAAACTTTTTTACACAATTCATGTATTATTAGCTTGTGGTGAAATGCACCAATGTCTACCATCAAGATAGATAACGCCTACCAGACGCAATTGCTGAAGCTGCTTCAAGTTTGAAATCTTCCGAGTTCTCCTCAGAAGATGCAAGAACAATTGCGGCACTGCTTGCTTGAGCAGACATTGCAGCTGCTGCAACCCTCTCCGATGCCTCGATAGGCAGCTGTTGCGGTGGACGACGTGCACGGGCCGAACCCTACTAGACCTAGCCTTCTAAAACCCAAGCCTGGAAGTCTCAGAACAGTCGATTCACCTGACTTTCCAGTGAAGCCCTCCTCTGAAGAAGCTTCTGCTAAAAGGCCACCAAGTTTGTCGTCCAGTTTTTTCAAGATTGGGTTCTCAAACTTGGCATCTGAGCCTTTCGACATATCTTTCTCTGAAACAGCTATAGCAAGCAGGTCGCCCTTCCATTCTGCAAAATCTAGCTCCTTTGCAGAGAATGCAATCTGTGATGCAAGGTTATGCAAGAGATTAACTTGCTTGCACCAAAAGAGGACATCTTGCTCATAGTTGACACATGGAGTAGAAAACTTAAAGGGGAAACAAAATCAAAGTATTAGGGTTGACAAAAAAAATTCCAAGCTTTTATTTCATTTTTTATTTTTTATTTCCAGACAAAATAGACATACAAGCATCAAGATGCAGGCTACCGTACATGGCTGCACAGAGAAGACCGTTAAAATGGTGATTAAAGAAAACTCCTGAATAAAACAACAACGAAGCTGGAAAGGAAGGGTGAAATCTAAGGAATAGAAATACTGGAAGAAATAAATGAGAAAAAAGTTTGATACTTTTTTTTTTAAAACTATAAAAAGTGCAATTTGCACCAAACCCATTCAGATGGATCCATTTCATGAAGTAATTATTGTTGCCTATACGCCTGCTTTAACTCAAAATGTTTCACACGAAACTCGAACAGAGGAATTAATCCTTGAAGAGAATCGAGATCTTTATCGCTAGAAACTCAGAACTAAAGCCAGCGGTTAACATCAAACACTTAGCGAGTGATCGAGGATGGTGAGGGGAACCTGAGGAGCTTCGTTGGGAGCGGGCTTGGTGAGGCCGAGAGTGGCCATGGGAGCGTGATGGAGCTTGGCGACGCAGCGGATCGCGAGTGGCGTGGCAGCGAGGCGATGAACTGACAAGAAATGTTAGGGGGCACACCTCAAACCACACCACCATCCACCCTCTCCTCTCTCATTTGCTACGGTATACAGGGCCCCACATGAGATTTTAAAAATTTAAAATCCCATGTGGGGCCTCGTATACTGTAGCAAATGAGAGAGGAGAGTGTGGTTGGTGGTTTAAAATCTCATGTGGGGCCCGTATACTGTAGCAAATGAGAGAGGAGAGTGTGGTTGAGGGTGTGGTTTGAGGTGTGCCCCTATCACCACTCTGAACTGACACATAATTCTATTAGAAACATACGCACACCTAATCATACCTTTACCCAAGAATCCTATTCTCAAATAAAAACTATCACTATTAGGGGCAGTGTTATTGTTCGGGATTGTTTAGGATCAGTTTGGATACGATAGCGTTTTATTTGTTTTTTGGGTGTTTTTATCAAGGGGCTGTTTGGTTCGCTTAAAAGACCAGTGGAAACAGGTTTCTGCGTCTGACACCATCTCCACGTCTGATTTTTTTTTTCCGCCCATTTCTTTTCGTCGCTTTGCTTCGCTAGAGTTAAAGATGGAAAAGGTTGCTGAAAACGCCGCCACCTCAGAATTTTTTCCTTCTCCGATTTCCTTCCTCAACCGAGAGAAATGGACGAAAACGCTGGCCACCTCAGTTTTTTTCTCCCTCGATTTCTTTGGTTAGCTAGAGTTACCTCTTCTCTCCTCCCGCTAGAAATCTCCCGCGACCTTCGTCGCTGAAGGGCCTGACCCAAGAGGATCTTTCTCTGTGGCTGCGATCAAGGAGATTTTGGTGACGGATCCCAAGTCTGGGGTTATCTTGTTTGATATTAGGATGGCTCACAAGCAGCTCTCGGTCACGATCTTTGAGAATCCACCGGACTGTAAGGAGGATGGAGGTGAGATTTGAGTTGATTAGGGGTTTCTGGTGTTTAGGATTGGTTCTTTTTTTTTTTTAGGGTTGTTGGATTAATTGAAGTTGATGGTGATAAGGTCGGATTTTGATGGAGCGGTTTTGTTTGAGGGATTGGATTTGATTTGGGTTATGAATTGAATTGATTTTGATCTTATTGAAGTTTTGATTTTAAGGTTGATGGGTGATTTTAGACTGTAGATATTGATTTTTTTTTTCACCTTTTATTGTTTTGTTTCTCAGGACTTATCCCAGACGCCTCCTGCACAAGAGTTGATTGCAAGGGACCTTCATGACAATGAATGGAAATTTCGTCACATTTTTCGAGGTATGTTCTATTTTGCCAACTATTTAAAGTTGAACATTTCCTTTGATGATGAGGTCATGAAGATAATATGTAGCTTTTTTTGTTTTGGTGTACTGCATGAATGTTTAAATGTATAAGCTTTCCTGTTTTAACATGAAAATGGAGAGTTTTTACTCCATCATCCTAATTGATTCATCATCTTTGCTAATGATTGTTAAATGTGTCTTTTTTAACATTCTATTTTTCAGATATTATAACTTTTAAGCTGTGAAGACTATTTTAGTGTGCTTGAATCAGTTATGAACTTTGTGGATTGTTAGTGTTCTTGGTGCTATTCTATCCAAAGAAAACATTGAATGATACTGTAAATAATCACATTCTAATTACGTTTTATGGATAAGACCATTTGACAAACATCGATTTATTTTATGAGCTGTAGAGTTCCATAATAAAGATAGCGTCAAGGTAGAATGAGTTTGACAGATCATTATGCTAGAGATTTTCAGATGCTATTTAATTGTGGGCGTATAGTATGGCAAATATGAATAGTTCATCTCTAATCTGCATTCATGTTCTGTCAAATAGGAGATTTGGTTAATGTTGCTCAATCACAATATGAATATAAATATGATAGTGAAAAATATTCAGAATATCAAAAATCGTATCTGGATTTAGTATTTTACTGGATCTAGCCAAGTGCATATGTTTAAAAGTGATATTTTTCAGTAAACTATATTATTACTGCATGCAGCCATTCACTATGATGTCCAAATAAGACACTCAGACTTTAACATAATTATTGATCATGTAGTAACATATTCAACTAAAAATGGTTGTGCTAGTCTCTCTGTAGCCTTTTGATGGTTCATAGTCAATACTGTGGTCTTATATTCTTGTAGTTCCTTCATTTATTAGTATATTGGCTCATCAGATGTCTAAAAATTGGTCACCGGATGTTAAAATGTGGATGATATGTGCATTGATTTCTCCCTTTTCCTGAAGCACTGGATTCCACACGCATTTATTTAACATTTGTGTCTAGCATGTAAGTTGTGTAGTTCTATACAGTAATGTACTAGTTTATTAGATTGTAATAATGGCATATGCTTTTCTAGACTTCTAGTCTATGCAGCTCTCTTTGCAGTTCAGTAAATTGATCATGTGCAGGTCAGCCAAAGAGGCACCTTCTCACAACAGGATGGAGCGTGTTTGTAAGTGCAAAGAGCCTGGATGTGTTCAGTTTGTGACCAGCTCGGTTTTGTGTTGTGGAGCCTGGTTGTATTGTGGAGCCAGGTTATGTTTGTGCTTTTGTTCTCGGCCAGTTTTTTTGCATATATTGTTGATATAATTCTAAGCCTGGTTGTGTTCAGTTTGTGACCAGCTCGGTTTTGTGTTGTGGAGCCTGGTTGTGCTCCTAATCCTGGTTGTGTTGTGCTTTTTGTGCATATATATTGTTAATGCTATACCATGTCTGATTGTGTTCAGTTTGTGACCACATCGGTTTTGTCATTATCAGCAGGTTATATTATATTCTTGTTTGTTCAAAACAGTCCACCTGAGCATGTCCCTTGTTCATGTTCGTGCACACCAGTTTTCCTGATTCTCTAGGTTGTGTTATGTTTGTGTTCAGTCACTTGGAGTTCTATTTGTGTTCAATTTAGACTATGATGAGTATAAATTTATGAATAAGCAGGTTATTGCAGATTTCGTGTGATTTTTTCAATCTCAAACAGGTATATTTCAAGTCAAATCAGGTGCATAGTTCATAGCAATTGATTTATGTTATTTCAGGTTTCGTATGATTTAATTAATACAAACAGAAATTTATAATTCATTGGGGATATTATTATTTGTTCATGTTACATTCGAACTTTTATATGATTAAGATTACCTCATATAACGAGCACAAATAAATTTGTATATAGTGGGGGTAATCTTACCATGGTGACCATAAACAATTTTCCTTACAAACTTCAAAACCAACCAAACACAAGAAAAGTGGGAAATGTCAAATCAACAAAAGTTTTCCCTTTTTTTCCATGCGAACCAAACACAATAAAAGTAAATACATTAGTATCCCACCATTTTTTATATGCGAACCAAACCGAAACAATTTATTTCTTGGAAAAGTTTAGAAAACTCAAAACTTGTGTTTCTTTACATGGAATTGCATTTCCCTATATCTAGGAAACGAACCAAACAGCCCCCAAAAATAAAACATAATGCGTTTGAAAACCATGGTATTTTTTGAGCTAAATCATTCTCAAACCAAAAACACAACACTTATTTCAAAACACATTTTAGATGTTTTAAGTTTGATGTTTTGGTTTTAAGTTTGATGAGGTGTTAATATAATATCTAATATAATACATTAAATGTAATTAATATATAGTTATTATCGACATGCTTATTATATTATATTATATTATATTATGTTATATTATAGTTAATCTAATATATTAAAAGTATTTATTAAATAATATTAAAATATAATAATTTAGATATCTTATATAATAAGATAATAAAATATTAAATACTAGTATTTAATATATTGATGATGTAATAATAAATAATAATAAAATATAAATAAATTGATACAAAATAATAAAAATTATTGATAATAAATATTAATATAATAATGATATAATATACAATATTATAATAACAATAATATTATTAACTTTTTAATAAATAAATTGTGATAAATTAATAAATATAATTTATATAATAGTACATATTTATAATAAAACAATAATATAATAATATTAATAATAATATAGTTACATAGTAAATGTAAAATATAATATCATATATTATAAATAAATAATATAACTATTATAAGTTATAAATAATTTTTGGCTAAATTTAATTAGTAAAAATAATATATTCATAATATAAATGAATATTTATTTATATAAATAAATTGTTAATATATTATTAAAGTATTACCTAATAAACTCTAACATATTAGAAACCATAATATATTATATACTATTAAGAATATTTCTATTATTTATTAATTTAAATTAATATATACTTAAGTTATATGAATATAATATACTATTATATAATAATATTATACGTTATATTAATAATAGTATAATATTATATTAATAATAAAATAATATTATTTTAAAAATATTATATAAAATATAATAGTAACAAATTAATATACCAAAATAATTAAATATATTATTATTTGAATATAATATGTAATAATTGTAATATAATATAACACATTAGACTACAATATAGTGTTATCATATATTATATAATATTATATTGTATTATATTTAATATTTATAATACTATAATAATATAAACTAAATATTATAACATTTTCTTTATACTATATTTTATTATAATTAATATATAATATATTAGTAATATGTTTATTACTTATGTTGTTATGGGTCAAACTAGTGTTGGCCAAAAACACTCAACATTGTGTTTTGAAAACTCTTTAAGGGAAAAACACAATGCCATGGTGTTTTTTTACAAAAACACAACAAGAAAAACACAATGTTATCCAAAAGAAGCCCAAGTACAACTAAGATACTTGTTTAGAATCTAAAATTTTAGGATTTGGATTAGAATGAGGATTTTTTACTGTAGCCCTACACTAATTCATAATATATTTAAGCTTTTGGGTTAGATTTTCGGACTTAATGGTGAATTCTCATGCTAAAGCTTAGATTCACAGAGTAATTGAAAGAGTTGTGATACTAATTTATGTATTTTAATATATAAATTAAATATCTTTAAAATATTATATCAAACATTTGACATCAAATATATAAT